AAAAATATATTAAAGAACAACAACAACAACCATCACAAACTATTCCCTGAGTGAATAGTCCCAGGAGCAAGGTAGTTTTGGGAAGGGTCTCACGCTCTTAGATACTTTTAAAGGATCCTGTACATTGTCTCAGTCCTGTTTTCCTTGAATTCCACTTGCATGGGGTGATTGTTTAGCCTTAAAAATGTTGATCCTTTGGTCATCACCTTTGATCTTTCTTTTTTTGTGGGACTCAGACTACACAGAAAACTGAGGGGATTCTTAATATGGATATTACTGAATACATATTCTTGATGCAACTTAAATAGGCCACAGCTATGTTGGTATATTGCCTGCAAAGCTCTCAAATGTATGGTATGGTCAAACATCCTAAAAATTATATAGAGTAAAATCTGCACTTTCTGTTGCAAAGAAGACAAATTCTAGTGGATTGAGGAGAGAGGGGCTCTTGAGAAGGTGAGAAAGTACAAGAGCAGCGATTTTCAACCTTTTTCACCTCATGGCACACAAACTAATTACTAAAATCCCGTGACACACCAAAAGTATATATTTTCTGCAAATGACAAAAAAAAAATAGGTATAATTTTGATTCATGCACACTGGATGGCTATTGTTTTGTTGGCTGTTGTCATTTTTTATTTTGACAATCTAAGGAAAAAGAGGTCAGTTCTCCTGACTAAATAGGCAGGTATTGTGTGTTTTAAAATTATTGTGGCATGCAGATTGAAAATCACCCCTGGTTTCTGGCAAAAGAGTGCCTAAAACCCTTGTAACTACCTGAGTGCTTGTGTGAAAGGCACAGCTCTTGTTATTCACAAGCTCCTCTCAACCACACCTTAGTGCATGCTGATGCGGAGCATGGGCTCCCAGATAGCTTCCGGATGGGAGCTGGCTGCCAGAGGAACCAACCAGGTGATTAGAGGTTTAGAACTTGCCACGCAGGCCCCCTCATCTTTAAGGATGAGGGGGGAGGGCTGGGGATTGAGTTCATCACCAATAGCCAATGATTTGATAGATTATGCCTCTATAAAAACAGGACATGCAGGGGTTCCGTCTTCAGGGGCGGTGAATGCATCCACGTGGCAGGAGGGTGGCACATCCCAAACTCCAGAGGGACAGAAGCTCCTGCACGTGGGCCTTGCCTTTGTACCTCTTCTTTACCTGGCAGGTCATTTATAACCTTTATAATAGCAAGTAAAGTGTTTTCTTGGATTCTGTGAGCCATTATAGCAAGTTATCAAAGCTGAAAGGGGGATCAGGGGAACCCCAATTTGTAGCCAAGTCAGAAAAAATAAGTGTAGGCAGTCTAGAAACTCACTATTTGCCACAAGTGTCTGAAGTAGGGGCCAGACTGTAGCACTGAGCTCTGAATCTGTGAGCTCTGCACTAACTCCAGACAGTAAGTGTCACAGGTGAATTAAAATGGGAAGACACACAGATGGTCTTACAGGGAACTGGATTATTGCTTGGCGTGGCATAGCCACACGTTTGGTGTCATGAGTGTTGTAAGCAGAGAAGGTATTCCCTTGCGTGGACATTGAAATCTGTGCATATCAGAACCGTGCTAAGTGAGACTGCTAGATAACATTCTCTAAAAGAGCTTTTCTTAAAACTACCCCACAGGAGTTAAGATTATCCAATAAGCCGAAATTGGTTTGGCTCAGTGGTAGAGCGTTGGTGTGTGGACTGAAAGGTCCCAGGTTCGATTCCAGTCAAGGGCATGTGCATTGGCTGCGGGCACATCCCCAGTGGAGGATGTGTAGGAGGCGGCTGATAAATGTTTCTCTTTCATCGTCGTTTCTGGCTCTCTATCTCTCTCCCTGCCTCTCTGAAAAAACAATCAATAAAATATATTTTTAAAAAAGATTATCCAATAAGACTGGAAGATTCTGGGCTGAGATCAAATCACTTTATGTACAAGGGTATGGAATTCAGAGTACATGGGTTAAATATGATGCACTCTGACTCTATTTTTATTTTTTATTTATTTTTTTTTCTGACTCTATTTTTAAAAATATATATTTTATTGATTTTTTTTTGCCCCCCCTCCCTCCCATACATACCCTCCCTCCCCAGAGTTTTATGTCCATTGGTTGTACTTATATGCATGTACTCAAGTCCTTCGGTTGATCTATTATCTCCCCCAGATCTTCCTCCCCTCCCCACTGTAATTTGACAGTGGGGAGGGGAGGGGAATTTTAAAAAATCTTTATTGTTGAGAGTATTAGAGACGTCCCTCTTTTCTCCCCATTGCCCCGCTCCACCTGGTTCCTGCCCCACCCCAGGCCTTCACCACCCTACTGTGTCCATAGGTAGATCTTTGGTTAATCTTTTCCAACTCCCTTCCCTCCCTTCCCTCTGAGACTCATCATCTGCTCCATGTTTCCATGCCTCGGATTCTATTTTATTCACCAGTTTATTGTGTTCATTAGATTTCTTGTTCATTTATTTCGATTTTTAGATTCAATGGTTGATAGATATTTGTTGCCATTTTATCTCCCTCCCCCTCCTCTCTCCTCCTCTTCCTCCTCCCCTCTAAAGAATACCCTTCATCATGTAATACTGGTTTGGTGGTGATGAACTTCTGTAGCTTTTTCTTGTCTCCTCTATTTTAACAGTAGGGAAGATCAAATAGAATGGGTGAGTACATATGTAGGTATTATTGGTAAACAAAGGGAATATTTTTTTTTGTGTGTATGTGCCTTATCTTTTTTTGAAGTAGGAAACAAGGAATTCTGCTTAAAGTGACAGGGTAAGGGTTAGAGAAGTTTGCTCTCCTCTGTTGGCCTGGTCACTCGCTCTTAACTATCCTCCCTTGCAGGCTTGGTCCCTCCCAACTGTTGGCCATCTTGTGGCAGCCATCTTGTGACCACATGGGGGCAGCCATCTTGTGTGTTGGAATGATGGTCAGTTTGCATATTACCTCTTTATTATATTATATTATATTATATTATATTATATTATATTATATTATATTATATTATATTATATTATATTACATTATATTATATTGGATCATCTACATTTCAGGGACATGTCCTAAATTCAAAGTTTTCTAGGCAAGGCCCTGAATATGTGATACTATCAATTCTTAGTTTATTACATTCATATAAAAGGAAAGTGATTTCAGCAAATATATATTTTTTTAGAGAAAAAGCATTATTTTACTAGATGAAATAGGCCGGGGCTCTATCTACTGAGCCAAACGGGCTAGGGCCCGGCAATCTGTTTTGACAAGCCTTCCCAGGCGATTTTGCCATAGGTTATAAAGTTTGAGAACCATTGGTTTGATCCCCGCTTCCCCTTAAAGCTTGGAATTACCGGGTTCCACGGAAATGAGGTGAAACTAACAAGCAAAGCCATGGCTTTGTCGGAAAGATACTACTTTACATTGCTTAAAAGAATACATCTTTTCTAGAACTCCACCTTCTTTCATGCGTGTTAGCTTTCTATGGCTGCAGAAACAAATTGGTAACTTAGCAACTGAACAGAAATTATGTTAACAGTTCCGCAAGGTCAGAAGAGCATCTGTGTCCTGCGCCGCATCACCACAGCGGCTGCCTTATGCAGAGAACCCGTTCCCTCGCCTCATGGAGGACGTCTCTCCATTTGTTATATTTTCCAGATTTCCGTTATCGATCATGTCTTATTGTCATAAAAAAATAAAGAAACACGACCACGACGTGGTCACCCGCCGTTCCCCCCGGGCTTGGAGCCGGGGACAGCAGACACGGGCCTCCGTTTATCTGTGCGGCCCCGCCGCCCGCCCTCCCGGCGCCCTGCGGACTCTTCCCCGAATGAATAAACCTGAAAGCGTCTCTGGACATGAGTGGAGGCCGCCCATCGCTTCCTACACTCGGGCTTGCGGGGCCTCCCGCGCCCTTCCCCGGGGAGGTAGGTGGTCGCGGGCCACAGGCCCAGGCCTCCTCGGGGCGTGAACGTCCCACGTGTCCTGGGCGGGGTCGGTGCCCCGCAGCCTCGCTCCCGCGGCCTGTGCGGGGAAGGCGCCCGCGCACCCGCCTGCCGCGGGGCCAAACCCGGCCGGGCAGGGCCGGCGCCGCGAGGGCAGCCCCGTGCGGAGCGGCGCTGGGCTCCGCCGGGCCGGGCTGCTGTGGGGAGCGGCGGCGGGCGCGGGCGAGGGCGAGGGCGAGGGCGGGCGCGGACCCGGGAGCGGCGGGTGCGAGCGGAGCGAGCAGGGGCAGGCGGAGGCGGGAGCGGCGGGGGCGGACCCGGACGCCGGAGCGGCGGGGGCGGGAGCGGCGGGCGGGGACGCGAACGCGGGCGCGGCGGGGGCGAGCGCCGAGCGGGGAGGGGCAGGCGGGGGCGAAGGCGGACGCGGGTGCGAGCGCGGAGGGGCGGACGCGGGTGCGGCGGGCGGCGGGCGCGGGGCGGGCGGACTCCGGCGCCCGTGGGGGAGGAGCAGCGGCTGCGGCTGCTGTGGCGACAGCCGCTCGGCGTGGGCAGAGACCCGCCCCCTCCGCACCGACAGCCGCAGCGGCCCGGCAGCTGCACTCGCGCCCGGGCGGGGTGGGCGGACGGCCGGAGCGGCGGCGGCGGCGGCGGCAGCTGCAAGAGGGACGCGGCGCGCCGGTGCGCCAGACCGTAGCGGAGGCCTCGCCGCCGAGCGCCCGGGCGGGTGCGGCCATTTTTGCGGCCCGCGCCGAGGGGGCGGCGTGAGCGCGCCCGCCTCCCGCCCTCTTCCCGGGGGAGCTTCTCGGGCGGCGTGCGGGGCGGTGCATGGGGAGTCGCGGGCCGCGCGGAGCCGGGCCCGGGAAGCGCCGCCGTCGTCGCCGCCGCGCTCCGCGCCCCACCGGCGCCTGAGGAGGAGCCCGGCGCGGCTAGGCCCGAGGCCCGCCTTTGTGTGAGGCCCGTCCGGCCGGAGCGCCCCCGCCCGCCGGCCCCGCGCAGCCCGCAGCCCGCGGCGGTCCCCCTGCGGCGCGGCCCCAGCGCGGGGGCCTGCGGGCCATGGACTAAGGCGGCCGCGGCGTGGGAGCAGGAAGATGGCGGCTGGCAGCAGCGGCGGCAGCTCCGGGGAGATCGCTTTCCTGGAAGGTACATCCATGGCGGCTGCCCTTGCGGGGCTGGGGTGGGGGGATCCGGGAACCTATGGCCCCTGACCCCCCGGGTATTCGATGGTGCGCGCCGGGTGGGTTCGGGGGGTGGGGGCGATGTGGGGGGATGGGCTGCGGCCGGGTTCGAGGCCGCGGGTTCGAGAGTCTGGGCCGGGCCGGGCGGGGCGAGCGGGCGGGTGGAGGGGCTTCGAACCTCCCCCCCCCCCTCCCCCCGAGCTGCACGCGTTTAAGTGTCACATTTTTTGGATTTTGGGGGTTTGGGGTGGAGGCCTAAAGGATGGGTGTGCGTGGAAAGGCTCCCAATGGCCGCGGCGGTGCGAGATCGGGGTGCAGCCCGGGTGGGGAGGGGGCGGCCGTCCTCCTGCGGGTGTTTTCAGTCCTCCCTCCGCCTCTTTTTTTTTTCTCGCGAAGCTTCCATCTTCCTTTTCGCAGTCCGCAGTCAGCTGAGGCCCGGCCTTCTGCGGCATTCTTACAAAAATGCTAAAAATCTCTTGGATAAGGTAATTCATTTTAAAGAGAAAAGAAGGGAGATTCACAATCTCCATTTGGGGGGGGGGGCAGTCGCCAAAGCTAAGGGACGCAGCTTGGCTGTTTTGCATTTTTGATGATCCGTTGGGAGGGAAAGGGAGACGTTTGCTGCGGGCGATGGACACCGGTCTGCAGCAGAAAAATAACCGTGCGCTCGCTATTGTTGGGAATGGTGGCAATGGTTGGGATCGGTCTGTTGGCTCTTTGCCGTCCTAAGGGCCCCCCCAAATGCAGCTGAACTCATTGTGGTCTTGGACAAAGAACGTTGCCTGCCTGGATGATGGCTTCGGGGCTGATGCACTGGTCCCTGGGTGCACCCGGGGTGCGGGAAGATGGACGTATCTGCCTGTGGCAGGGATTGTTGTTGCAAAATTGGGTAATTTGGCAAGGTGATTTTCATATGCCATATAAGTAATGCTTTTTTAAAAAAAATTTTTTTTAAAGCTAATTAGAAACGTTTCTAAATTAAGGACGTGCTTAACTGTGGCAACAACAGGTTCTTGAAGTGGGTGCTGAGGGACGGGGAAGCCTTGCTTATGGTTTTATTCACGAGGCCTGGGAACCGTGGTAGCTGCTCCACCTTTGTCTAATGAACGAGAAGGGCCTGAGAGATGTAGGTGGGAGAAGCGATCATAATTTACGTAATGCTTCCAGGCGCGCATAGCAGAACAAAAGGAATCCTAACCTTGCTAGGAAGCCAGCGTTTATCTGCAAGCGATGCGAACTTAATGTGAAATTCTCAGTAAGAAGATGTGGAAAGGGTGCATTTTTTTTTTCTGGGTTCATTTAATATTATCTCCATTCTTTCTCTATTTTGAGCAGAATAGGTGCCTGTTAGAGGCTGATAGCTATGCAGCTTGTGTTGCGTCATTTCTTTTTTTGTTTGTTTCGGTATTGGTACCTCAAAAGATGTCTTACCGTGCTTATTATATATTCTGTTAATGCAGATGATTGCACTTGTATATTGTGTTAAGTTTTAGGCTTCTGTATGCTTTTGATTCAGTTTAAGTTTTGACTATATGAACATGGGATAGAAAGCACAAATCGCCAGGCCGGTGTGGCTCAGTGGTTGAGCTGTGATCTATGAACCAGGAGGTCACAGTTCAATTCCCAGGCAGGGCACGTGCCGGGGTTGCAAGCTTGATCCACAGTGTGGGGCGTGCAAGAGGCAGCCGGTCAGTGATTTCCCTCCCTCCCTTCTCAAATAAATAAAGTGTGTGTGTGTGTGTGTGTGTGTGTGTGTGTATATTAAAAAGAAATAGCACAAATAAAGCCAACAGACTGGGCAGATGTGAATTTCAAACTATTGATTTTAGTTTATTCTAACTTAAAGGTCTATGAATGTCCAGGTGATAAATTTGAGTGTAGTCATGTCTACTTCATTCTCATAAGGAAAGCAAATGGTTACTTGCTTAGAATATGAGCTTAAGGAAAAGCAAGGATTTCAGTTTCTTGTTGGATTTTCATATATTGTACTGCATTTTTTAAAATAAAAATAATATTCACGAATTGTATTTTTTAAATTTAATTCTTTTGGTTTTTTTTACTCTTTTAATAAAAGAATATTCCACTATTAAGTTGCCATATATTTTGCATTCTTCACAGGTCCTTAAGTTTTAATATTTAAACATCTACATAGTATACTTTTCTTACTCTCCAGTAGACTTCTTGAAAACTGATGTAGGTTTTCATTCACACATTAAATATTTGGAGCCTATTCTGTGCTAGACACTGTACCAAGGTGACTGTTAGCAGTGTATATGATAACGTACTCGTTAATGAAATAAAGAAGATAATATAATAAAAGCTATGAAAGAAATATACTTATAGAACAAGGAAAGAAGGTAAAGCCATTTTACATAGTGTTAAAAATTCTGGAAAGAAAAAATTTCTGGAAAGGCCTTCCTGAGGAGGTGACCACTTCAGAGAGAATGATGCGTGTACAGGTTCTGAGATGATAATATATGGTTCCTTTTGTTAAAAAGGTCATGAGTGAAATGCAAGCAGAGTGATGTGAAAGAGAAGCAGATTTATCATACAAGATAATAAATTTTTCATTTTGAGAAGTGGAAAGTTACTGAGTTTGGGGCTGAGGGATGCCATGATATAATTTATCTTTAAAAATCCCTGACTGCTCTGTGGAATGACTTATAGAAGAGCAAGAGTAAAAGCAGGAACATGCGTTAGAATATTATAGTAGTTTAGGGTTGGGATAGGATAGTGGCAGTGGAGATTGGGGAAAAGGAGTGGAGGGACTGAAGATACTTTTGGATGTAGAGCTAACAGAATTGTAATGGATTGTATATTGAGGGTCAGAGTAAGGGAGGAATCAAAGATGACTCCCAGTTTTTTATTTGAGATGTTGGGGGCTAATTTCATTTACTGATCTGGAGTAGACTGGTAGAGGACCTAGAAGTTAATAGCGCTGCTTTGGTGAAAGTGTGTTTGAAATGTCTTTATTCTAAATTATGTTTTACATTCTTATATCCACTAAGTAAATGCTATTACCAACCATTTCTTTTTCTGGCTTCATTAAGGAAAAGGAGGCCTACTATCAGCTGTTGTACATTATTTTGTGCATGTAATATCCCATGGAAATTGTGTGAATTTAATTAGATCACAGCTTGTATTGAATTTTTTTCTTTCTCTTCTTTGACTTGATTCTTTCTGTACTATTCATTTAAGGTTATCTTATAACCCCTTTTCAGATGTGATAGTTTGGCAGGTTTCTCTTTGTTCATTCATTTAACAGATATTTATTGAGCAACTCTAATGTTGTAGGTACTATTATGAGAGGCACAATGGGTGGGGATGGGGGGTTGAGAATGGTTTCTTCATGGAGTTTCTAGTCCAGAGAATAAAGTCAGTGGTCAAATAATCACACTTATAAATGTAAAATTATAACAAGTGCAGCAAAAAAGGATTATTCATAATAATGAGAATTTGATCTAATCAGGGCAGTTGAAAAATAAAATGTAGGTAGACAGTGCTTTCCAGGCAAAGGGAATAAAATAGAGGGAGCATGGCATGTTTAGGAAACTAAAAGGACAGTGTGGTGCTAGCAAGGAGAGTGGTACAAGATTGGAGGTGCCATTATTAGGTTTGTTTTAAAAAAGGTCATTGGCTACCTGGCTACCACATAGAGAAAGCTTTAGAGAGGAGCAAGAGATTATCAGTGAGACTAGTTAGGAAACTGTTGCAGTATAGGGCAGAAGTGATGTTAGCTTGTTCTTATAACCTTACTTTTGATATTTTCCCCTTCTCTCCTCTCTAGAACCTCTTAACAAGTTTACTTCCTCTCACATTTGTTTCTTTTTTATGTTGCACTTATTCATATATAGTTTGCTTTCCCTTTTCCTTTTTCACTAAATAATTGCTCGGCAATATTTTCTTCCATTTTTTTCCTGCTTTCCCTTTTATTTATATACTAGAGGCCTGGTGCATGTGTGCATGGATGGGGGAGTGTGTCCCCTTAGCCCAGTCTTCACTCTCTAATCCAGAATCTCATTAATAATCCTGGACCACTGGCTCCTAATCACTCACCTGCCTGCCTGCCTGGTCGCCTCTAACTACCCCCAACTCTGCTCCCACCCCCACTGACCTGGTCGCCCCTAACTGCCCCCACACCACCACCACCAACCTGGTCTCCTCTGACAGCCTGGTTATCCCCAACTGCCTCCCTTGTCCGCCTGGTGGCCCCTCACAGTTTTCCCTCCCAGCCTGGTTGCTGCATGCAGCCTGCTTGTTCAGTCATTTGGTCATCCCCACTAACCCTTCTGCTGGCCTGGTTGTAGGCAGCCATCTTGTGAGTGCATGAGGGTTAATTTGTATGTTACTTCTTTATTATTTAGGACTAGAAGCCCCATGCATGAAATTCGTGCAAAGGCTGCCTCATGGGCCTGCAGCCCCATCCACTAGTCATTCCAGAGGTCATTCTGCTGTCTGGTCTAATTAGCATATTAGCTCTTTATTATATAGGATACACACACCCATACCTCTTTGTTTTACTATTTATTCTGGGCCCATCTTCCTTTGTGGACTTGGCCCAGTAGGACAATTTGCTGTATTGCCCTCTATACCAGCAAAATTGCTTTTATCTCCAAATGAGAAGTGTCTTCTATTTCCGCTAAGCCATACTTGGCCATACTAAATTGGTTATAAATACATATAATTGTAATTCAACTCTCATTAGTTTGTCACTTTTACTGGGGACAGTAAATATTTCACATTATCTCTTAACTAAAGTACAATTTCTCCTAGATGATCAGTATTCCATGAATATGTGCAAAGTCTTTAGTTTCAGTCTGTCCAGGGGAACATACCACAAAGTTCTCCATTTAGCCTGCTCATTTTTCTTTTGGTTGCACCACTTTAATTTTTAATTTATACTTATTGTTAAAAGTATTACACATGTCCTTTCCCCCATCAGTGACCCCCTCCGCTCTTCTCCCATCCACAGATTCTTTGGCTAATCTTTTCTTGAGCACTGCCTCCTTCCCCCCCCCCCCCCCCCCCCCGCCTTCCCTCTTAAATTAATCAGTCTGTTCCATGCTTCAGTATCTCTGATTATACCACTTTTTTAAAAAAATATATATTTTATTGATTTTGTACAGAGAGGAAGTGAGAGAGAGAGTTAGAAACATCAATGAGAGAGAGTCATCGATCAGCTGCCTCTTGCACACCCCCTACTGGGGATATGCCCACAACTAAGGTACATGCCCTTGACCGGAATCGAACCCGGGTCCCTTCAGTCCCCAAGCCGACGCTCTTTCCATTGAGCCAAACCGGTCTCTGCTGATTATACCACTTTTAAAAACTGCATCATGGGAAACCAAGATGGCAGCGTAGGTGAGTATCTAATCTGTCACCTTGCACAACAATTCAAAACTACAACTAAAAGACAAAACAGCTATCACCCAAACCACGGGGAAAGCTGGCTGAAAGAGAAAGGAGCGCAAGCGTTGAAAAGCTGAAAAGGGTATGGAGGCATGCAAATTGGGCTGGTGGCGGGCAACTGGGCGTGCAGCATTTTTTCAACCAGAAGGGAAACAAGCTCCCAATTACTTGGAAATCCAGTTTCTGGGGTCACACTGGGGACCCAGACGCTTACAGGGAGAAGCTGGTCTGTTGGACAGTAGTCTGAAAGTGAGGGTGATTTTTTTTGCAGAGGTGCGCTCAGCAATCATTGTTTACTGCACTGGAGCACGGGGACACGGGGACTTGGATACACTGAAAGGCAGAGACTGCTGACGGCAGCCATCACTGTGCCACACCCCAGCCTAGTGACATCCTGAGACTTGGCCCCTCCCTGAGGCCTCGCCCAGGCTCCACACAGCTGCTTTTGCATAAGCAGTGAAAATGCCTAGAAAAAGAACAGATCTCAAACAAAAGAAATTGAGAACAAAAGACTGGATATAGAGTTCAAAACCATGCTTATAAGGTTTTTCAAGAATTTCATAGAAAAGGCCGATAAATTAAACGAGACCCTTGAGGATATGAAAAAGAAATTAAACCAACTAGAAATTAAACATACACTGACTGAAATAAAAAATATACATAGACCCAACAGCAGACTAGAAAAACACAAGAATCAAGTCAAAAGATTTGGAATACAGAGAGGCAAAGCACACTCTTCCGGAGAAGCAGGAAGAAAAGAGAATCCAGGAAGTTGAAGATAGTGTAAGAAGCCTCTGGGACAACTTCAAGTGTACCAACATCAGAATTATGGGAGTGCCAGAAGAAGAGACAGAGCAAGACACTGAAAACCTATTTGAAGAAATAATGACCAAAAACTTCCCCCACCTGGTGAAAAAAATAGACTTAAAAATACCTATCAACCTACAGATGCACAGAACCCCAAACAAAAGGAATCCAAAGAGGACCACACCAAGACACATCATAATTAAAATGCCAAGAGCAAAAGACAGAGAATCTTACAAGCAGCAAGAGAAAAACAGTTAGTTACCTAAAAGGGAGCACCCATACAACTATCAGCTGATTTCTCAACAGAAACCATGCAGGCCAGAAGTGAGTGGCAAGAAATATCCAAAGTGATGAATAACAAGAACCTACAGCCAAGATTATTGTATCCAGCAAAGTTATCATTCAGAATTGAAGGGCATATAAAAAGCTTCACAGATAAGAAAAAGCTAAAGGAGTACCTTACCACCAAACCAGTATTATATGAAATGCTAAAAGGTGTTCTTTAAAAAGAGGAAAAAGAAGAAAAAAGTAAAGATAAAAATTATGAACAAGTACATATCTATCAACAAGTGAATCTAAAAGTCAAGTGAATTAAAATCTGAGGAGCAAAATAAACTGGTGAATATTATAGAATCAGGGCCATAGAATGGGAGGGGATTAATAATTCTCAGGGGAAAAGGGGTGTCTGTGTGGGGGATACGGGAAGAGACTGGACAAAAATCATACCTATGGATGAGAACAACAGGGGAGAGGGAGGTAAGGGCAGAGGATGGAGTGGGGACCAGGTGGAGGGGATCTATGGGAGGGGGGGAACAATTATAATCTGAACAATAAAGATTTATTTTTTAAAAATTATGGGCTTTTCTGGGCCATCCTATCTAATAAAGAGGGAATATGCTATAAACCTCACACTATTGCAAAGATGTCGGCACACACAGCCAATGAGGGGATATGCTAATTAACTTTCCCATCCTCAAAATGACAGCACCCACAGCCAATAAGGAGTGGATATGCTAATTGACTGTCATGTCCTCAAATATGACAGCCCCCACAGTCACAACATGATGGTGGGCAGTCCCCTCAGTCCTGCTGGGGTGATAGGCACACGGCAAGGTCAGGCTGCCCACCTCTTAAAGTCCCCCAGTCCCTTCAGTCCCCCAACTGCCCAAGGCTGGCCTGAGGCACAGGCAAGCCTCAGATGGCTGCTGCCCAGGGCCACCTGAGGCTCAGGTAACCAGGGCCAGCTGAGGCTTGTGCTGACGGCAATGGCAGCAGCAGAGGTGTGATGGGGGAGTCGTCTTCCCCTGATTCTCAGGTCGCTTTTCACCTCTAAGGGCTCTTGGACTGAGAGCGGGCATGTCTGCCCCCTAGAGTGCATGGATTTTCATGCCATAGTCCTCTATGTTATAAAACCTGAATAATTGTGAATTTATGGTTAGGAATTCTCTAATCATGGGAATATATACTTAGAATATATATAGTTTATATAGTTCAATCCAAAAATTTAGAGGCAAGGACAGGACATTATTATTAATTATTCCCATTGTTGAATTCTTCAGTGAGTTTCTTTGTTTTATTCTAGTTCACTCAATCAGAGTGTTGTCCTTCAGGTGTTCTGGTATTCAGTCTGACCCTTCACTTTGTTGTGTCCCCAAACTTTATATATATGTTGATTTTAGATAGAGATGGAGGGAGGGAGAGAGAGACACACATCATTGTGTGAGAAACACTTGCACACACTCTATTGTGGAATGAGCCTGAAATGCTGGCATGTGCTCTGACCCTAGGAATCAAATGGCGACCTTTTGGTGCATCGGACCATGCTCTATGATATGAACCACACTAGCCAGGGCTGTGGGGCCCTAAACTGGTTTTTAAAAGCTAGGCTCTAGGCCATCAGGATTTTGTTATGTGGCTTCAAATGACAACTTCAGAAGTTTATTTCTCCAGGTTCCCACTTACCAGTTTATGACTTCAACGGTTTTCAGCCATGCACTTAAAATTTTTTTAAACTCATAATGAGCATGCTTGGTTTTCTGATATGGAGGTTTTTTGAAGTGCTGCTCTCAAAAGTGCAAGTGCCATCATTAGGACTAAGTCATAATGTTCTTATTGGACTGATATATTGCCAACACAAATCTTTTATTTGTTTCTTTTCTGTTAAAAGGCAGAGATGATGAAGGTAAAGAAAAGGTCAGTTAGTGGTCTATAATAGATATGGTTCTCATAAATGAGGCAAGCAAACTAACAGGCACTGATTTCTAGAATCGGTGATCAATTATGGAGATACAGGGTTGATTTTTAAAAATATTTCATACATATTTGTGTGTGTGTGTCTTCATTTTTATTGTATTTTACAAATTTGAGCTGCTTTTTCTAGCAAACACATATGGATGACATTAAAGTGTTCTTTTTTATTTTATTTTATTTTTTTATTTTTATTTTTTTTATTATTATCTGTGTACATATTTTAACATTGCCCCCCCCTCCCATACATACTGTTCTTTCTTTAGGGAAAATAAGGTGTTCATGAGCAATAATCAAAGACATTCAAGTGAAAAGAAAATCTAGGCTATTATAAAAGAGCTTGGGGAACACTCAATTTCATTTTATAGATAATAGCTCTATTAATGAATACTTATCTTTGTTTTTATTTCAGCTTTAACTAGATCAGAATCTAAGAGAGATGGAGGTTTTAAAAATAATTGGAGCTTTGATCATGGAGAAGAAAGTGAAGGAGATACAGATAAAGAGTAAGATTTTTTCCCCCTCAGATATTTTATAAGAATGAAACTTTTCATCAGAAAAGTAATATAAATTATTTTCTATGGAAATATTTTTAAGAGTATGGTATTCTTAAGAAAATATTGACTCTTCTAATAGCATTAATGAAGAAAAAGCAGTTCTTTATTGGTAAATAATTTTGTGTTATATTTATTTTTTGAAATTATAAATAAGTGCATCCAACATTTATAACCTTATGATTAAATATAAATCAGATTACAGATTTCCAACTAAATAAATTGTTCCTTAGTAAAAATAAACACGGAATTCTGTTCAGTAAGTAAGTGAACCTAGGTTAAGACTTCTGAATTTTGTATGAAACTTTAGATCCTGTGGTAACTTTCTTCCCAGTTACACCCTCACCACTACATCCATCTCACATTAGATTATCACCAGAGAGAGCAGAAACACTATAAATGGTAAACACAAGTGTTGACCCAGTAGAAGCTAAGCAAAGTGTACATTATATTTGTTAATGTACTTGGAATTGCTTCTGTGAAAAATATCAAATAGTGGTTTTAAATAGAACCTTTTGCATCAGACAGAATTTGTATTACAGATTCAGCATCACTACAGTTTCTGGGTTTATTGATCTAATTTTTTCCTTAACCAGAACAAATAGCAAATTTAGAGAAACACAAATATATATACCAAGTTTTATCAAAACTATAAATATGTTTTAGAAATTTTACACAAGTACTCATTCAGAGTATATTGTAGGTGCTTCATTTCTTTCTGGATAACAGCTCCATTCATCATTACCATTTTATGTGCCTTCACCTATGAGCTATTGAACTGAAGTTTTATTTGAAGGAAAGCTTAGAATTAGTAAGTTTCTCACTTAAAATTGGTATTTTATGGTCTTTTATGTCTGATTATTTTTCAATTTAAAATAGTATTTGTTAGATATTTAGTACATAGGTTCTGTAACATAGACAGCCATTTTGAAAAAATTGGAATTAAATCTGAAATTAAATTGAGTAGAAAGTATATCATATAAAAATATTTTTGTAAAGTGTTTGGAAGTAGAGAATTTTTAGCATTAAAAAGTTGGCATCTATATAAGTAGTAATGAAACATTTTACGTTTTGACTATAAATAGTTAGGATTTCACTGAAAATAGCTTATAGAGTTGCCTTCACAAGGGTGTATTTTAAGTTCCTCTGTGAAAAGATTTGTTGTAAGTATGTAAAAAATTGTCTTTTAAGTTGCTACCTGTCCTGTATGTTTTATTTATGAATCATACTCTTTGGTTCCTCATTGTCAGTGGACCTTCCGTGGCTCTTGCTTTTTGAACAAGTTGATATTAACATGAACTGTTTATTAATAGATATATCATCCTGATTTTTTTTAAATATCAGGCCAGTGATTCTCAGTGAACCGTTGATAGTTTTTTCAAAGTGGTAGAGGTATAGCTATTTTATTGTGATAATACTGTTGGAATTACTTACTTTTTATTAGCTAATGTTTTCTACCAGCTTGTTTCTCTGTCCTTTCCCCCTAATTTTAAATCCATGACAGAAAGTAAAAATGAGTGACCATATATGAAATCTGTATATAGGATGACAAATACTTTATTCATTATGGTGGGGATCAACAAACCATGATGCCTCATAGGCCCAATCTGGCCCACCACTAGATTTTTTGTTAATTGTTTTATTGGAACACAACTACACATATACTAGTAATCTATGATGGCTTTTATACTATAATGGAAAAGATGAATAGTTGATATGGCAATACTATGGTCTATAAAGCCTAAAATATTCTATTGCCCTTTACAGAAAATGTTTGCTATCCCTGAATTATTAGGTGAATAAAGAGGATAAAACTGAATGTAATGTATGGGTCATAATTGCCATTTAAGGTTTCTTCCTCCCTTATTTTATATGCAGTGAGGCAAATCTACTCAGTATAGATGAAGATGAGGATTCTGATACCTCAAAAGGAAAAAAGGCAAGTGTTGCATTTTTAATTTAAAAATTATTTTTAGGTTATATACTAAAAATGAATATTTCAAAAGAAGATGTTAACATCTTAATTTAAGTCCCAGCCTCTCTCTTTCCTATCCCAGAGGCAAATGATGTTCCCAGTTTCTTGTTTTTCCTATCAGCATTTATGTGTTAAACCAAAATATATATTCTCATCTCACCTCCTTACATTTACATAATTGGTAGTATCCTATACACAGGTTTTCTAATCTTCTAAAAATGAATATGTCTGAAGACCATCCATGAAAGTTTATTAAAAGTATCTCCATTCTTTTCAATGTACCATTTCATTTCAGGTTGTACTGTTATTATTCATTACCACCACATTTATGTTGTTTTCTACCCCCTGCACCCCCCCCCCCCACTCCAGTAATTTTGAGTAGTCTTCTGTATGAGTAATTTTGCCCACACACAAGTATATCTGTAGGATGAATATAGAAGGAGAGCTACTGTATCACGTTCACATTAGATATATTTCTAATTTTCTTATACCTGATTTATACTTAATTTATCAGCAATATCTGAGAATGCCCATTTCCTCAAACTTTTGTTACACTGTTATCAACCTTTTGATTTTTGCCAGTGAAAAATAGTATCTTAATTCCTTCTTCATGAATGAGGTTGAAAATATTTCATATATGTAGTCCATTTATTTTTCTGGATAACTGTCAGTTAATATCCTTTGCCCATTTTTCTATTTGTTCTTTAGAGTATTATTGATTCATAGGAATCCTATTTATATTAAGTCTGAGATCCACATTTTGACATCTGAAATCTGTCTAGGTGCATATTATAATTTCATGACATGGTTTAATTTAAAAAATGTCTGCATATTAGTACATACAATAATTACACATCTTAGAAGGTCTTAGGTTTGATGAAATACTGTTGTTATTTTAAATACTGGCTCATTGCTTTGATACTATTTGCTAATATTTTAAACCAATTTTTTTTCTTTTGTCTTTGCTTTTCATGGTTATTGCCTTGGAGAAAATGTATGTGTCTTGGGTTTAGTGTCATAATTCCTAATGATGATAACTTAATTACTTATTTGCTTTACCTATTACATACATTAAATAATTTCACAATACCAATGTATAATAATAAAAGCGGAATATGCTAATTAGACTGATGTCCTTCTGGATGTCCTTCTGTCCAGAAGGACAAAGCCAGGGCTATGAGGAAAGTCTGGACCCCGGGTGCCAGTGGGAAGGCAGTGCCAGCAGCCTGGGGAAGGAAGGCCTATGTGTGCAGGAATTTCGTGCATCGGGCCTCTAATTAAAATATAATTAATATAATGATTTAAGTTTTCTTTATCCTATTTCTTTCCTTGTTGTTTGGTGGCACCACCAGGTATATTCCACGAGGAATGTATATTTAAATTACTGTGTTAAAATTATTTATTCCTGGTTGGTAATTCCATCAGCTAGATGAGAGCAAAGTTTTTAAAATTTTTTGTTTTGTTCTTTCTTTATTTATTTTTTATGCACCGATAAACTTCGCAAGAAGTCTCTTTATTTTTTTAAATAAATCTTTATTGCTCAGATTATTACAATTGTTTCTCTTTTTTCACCCCCATAGGTCCCTTCCACCTGGATCCTGCCCCACCCTCTTCCCTTACCTCCTCCCTCTCCTTCTCCCCTCAGTCATTGTCCTCATCCATAGGTGTACGATTTTAATCCAGTCTCTTCCTGCACCCCCACATCCCTTTCCCCCTGATAATTATCAATCCACTCCCTTTCTTTGCCCCTGATTCTATTATATTCACCAGTTTATTCGATTGTCAGATTTTTAATTCTCTTGATTTTTAGATTCACTTGTTGATGGGTATGTATTTGTTGTTCATAATTTTTATCTATTTTTTCTTCTTCCTCTTCTTAAAGAATACCTTTCAGCATTTCATATAATACTCCTTTGGTGGTGATGAACTCCTTTAGCTTTTTCTTATCTGTGAAGCTCTTTATCTGCCCTTCAATTCTGAATGATAACTTTGCTGGATACAATAATCTTGGCTGTAGGTTCTTGTTATTCATCACTTTGGATATTTCTTGCCACTCACTTCTGGCCTGCATGGTTTCTGTTGAGAAATCAGCTGATAGTTGTATGGGTGCTCCCTTTTAGGCAACTAACTGTTTTTCTCTTGCTGCTTGTAAGATTCTCTGTCTTTTGCTCTTGGCATTTTAATTATGATGTGTCTTGGTGTGGTCCTCTTTGGATTCCTTTTGTTTGGGGTTCTGTGCATCTGTAGGTTGATAGATAGGTATTTTTAAGTCTATTTTTTTCACCAGGTGGGGGAAGTTTTTGGTCATTATTTCTTCAAATAGGTTTTCAGTGTCTTGCTCTGTCTCTTCTTCTGGCACTCCCATAATTCTGATGTTGGTACACTTGAAGTTGTCCCAGAGGCTTCTTACACTATCTTCAACTTCCTGGATTCTCTTTTCTTCCTGCTTCTCCGGAAGAGTGTCCTTTGCCTCTTTGAATTCCAAATCTTTGACTTGATTCATGTGTTCTTCCAGTCTGCTGTTGTATCCCTGTATAACATAATTAAATTTATTGGCCTTTTCTAGGAAATTCTTGGAAAACCTTATAACTGTGGTTTTGAACTCTATATCCAGTCTTTTATTCTCCATGTCTTTTGTTTGAGATCTGTTTTCTTGTCTCGGCATTTTCGCTGCTTCCCAGAGTTGGTAGGATCGCTTTGTGTGTTTGGTGTCCTATATGGCCCAGTGGGTCAGCCTCCCCAGTTACCTGAGGTGGACACTCTTGGTGCACCCCTTTGTACACTGCGTGTACAGCCTTGTTATAGTTAAGTCTTTTTTTTTTTTTTAATATATTGATTTTTTATATCAAAGAGAGGAAGAGAGAGATACAGAGAGTCAGAAACATTGATGAGAGAGAACCATCAATCAGCTGCCTCCTGCACACCCCCCCACTGGGGATGTGCCCGAAACCAAGATATATGCCCTTGACGGGAATCGATGCCGGGACCCTTCAGTCTGGAGGCCGACTCTCTATCCACTAAGCCAAGCTGGTTTCGGCTGTAGTTAAGTCTTGATTGTTGTTGGTATCCCTGGGAGGAATTGACCTTCAGGCTAATTGGATGTGAGTATCAGCTGTGTTTACTCTGGGATACCTTCTGTATTGGAGACAGTCTTATAGGATCAGACTTGCAAAATTGCAAAAGCCTTTGTGCTCAGCTTGGATGAGGCAGAGTCTCAGAGCTGAGCTGACAGTCTTGACTTTCCGTCAGCCTGCCCTTGTGCGCTCGCCTGAGTTTCCGCCTGACCTCTGCCTTTCGCGGCTCCCCTGAGTTTCCACCTAACGGTCCAGATTCCACATACAAGAGTGTGGGTGCCCCCGGGTTGGGTCTCCGTAATCTGATTTATACTTAATATATGTGAATTCCTGTTTCCTGTAACCTTGGAGAGAATGTGATCAAACTTAAGTTTTTTGACATTCTGGCATAGCACCCTCTTAAGTATTTCCCATACTTAACAGTTGAATAGATTTTAGGAACATTTAAATTTACTTTCTCCATCCTTGTAGAGGTTTTTGTCTGAAACAACTTTTGTCATGATTTAGGGAATTTACAGAATTTGAAGTTTTTTTCTTAGCACTCTTTTAGTATTTTCTTTATAAAGTTTACACAGAAAAACTAGAAGGTTTTTCATATTGTAATTTCTTAGAATGCTACTGTTAAATATTCTTCAGTTAGAGAAATATTGAACTTTGGAGAAAAATAAAAAGTGTTCCATCACTGACTTCTATGACATTGGTCTTTGATCTTTTATTGCTTGAGATTCCCTTAAGCCAGTGGTTCTCAACCTTTCTAATATCGCAACCCACAAGTTGAGAACTGCTGCTGTAGAGCCTAAGACCATCATAAAACACAGATATTTACATTATGATTCATAAACAGTAGCACAATTATTATGAAGTAGCAACAAAAATAATTTTATGGTTGGGGTTCACCATAACATGAACTGTATTAAAGGGTTGAAGCATTAGAAAGGTTGAGAACCATTGCCTTAAGCTTTTAATTAAGTATATGTCTTGTTACACATTTTTTTAAGTACATAAATGTTGACATTTAAAAAAAAAAAAAAACACACCTCTTTGACACTTATATGTATCCAGTGATATATAAAGATAATTATGATTTCATACTCAGCAGCATCTATTTTAAAAAAGTTTTACAAGTGTAATACATCCACTTTAAGTTGAAAATAATATATTGTGCCCTTTCTCTTAAAATTATTTTTTCTTTCAGTTTCTCACAGGATTTTGACTTTACATATCTATTTTAACTTCATGTGAGGTATTTTTATGGGATGGAAAGATTTTAATTCATCCTATAATATATCTTACCTAATAAAAGACAAACATGCAAATTGACTGTACCTTCAATAAGCCTGTAACCAATCAGTGACTATGCAAATTAACCCAAAAAAGATGGCGATTAATTTGCATATATAGGCTCTGAGGGTCTGTGTCCCAGGAACATCCTTGCATTCAGGTCACTGTGAGGTAAGGCCTGAGGCAGTAGTGGACCCCCTACCATTGATTGCAGGGAGCTGGGGGCCACTCAGGCACCAGGCCGAAAGCCTTGGTTTCAGCCTGGTGCAAGAGCAGACCCCCTGTGATTGATTGCAGGGAGCTGGGGGTCCGCTCCTGCCCAATAGGCTTTTGGCCGGGGCAGGGGCTGTGCTGGTGATCAGAGGGAGCTGGAGGGGCCCTCGATTGGTGTGAACTATAGAGGAGACACCTTTTCTGACTGCACATTGGCTAGGCTTCCTGTATGCCACTGGAAATATTCTTAGTAACTTGGGTAATAATTCGAAAAGGTCATCTAGGGTTTTTCTATGACACTTCTGGAGACAACAATGAAGGTCCGCTGTTGGAGGGCTAAGAAATATCATATCCTGCCCTAGCCGATTTGACTCAGTGGATAATGCCTTGGCCTGC